GACTTCTTCTGTTAGTTATCTGTTAAAAAAAAAATTCCTTTCCTACACAAAGCTCTAACAAATATTAATCTCCATATTTTCAAGCTTTGATTTCACTTAAAATTTTCTCTTTTATACATTTCAGCTTATTTTGATATACAGTGTATGAGGCTATACATTTTTTCTTTGTTTGCAAATAGCCAGATTTTTCAACAGATTTGCATGCACTGTGTCTTGATGTTAAATTGGACAACATTTTTTAAAAAGGCAGTTGAGAGGATTTGGTGCTGGAGAAATTCATTCATAAGCCTGGCGTGTTCAGAACACTGATGAATTGTTGGGTGAGTGCCAGGAAAGTTGTCAGGATAAGCAAGTATTCAAGAGCCACTGGGAGCGTTCCAGACTGTCGCCACTTTCCCCTTCTCCATAATTTAAGGATCTCCCTTTACCAAAATAAACTGTCCTACATTTAAGTAGCCAAAAGTCAGAGCAGTTTCAGAATTGTATCTTGGTTTCAAGGCCTCAACCAACCACCGGAAGATGAGATATTGACAGATCTAGTTGACAGGGGATGCCAGAGGGGACAGGAGATACAACTGTCAGGTAGGTAGGTCTTGTTGGTCAGCCAGCTGTTTGTGCCTCTTGCTTATTCTTCCACAGCACTCTACAATGCTGCATTTTAATTTTGTCTTATGTGTCTTTTTCTTTTCCTCCAGCCTGCTCCTTGCTTTAAAAAAAATTATTAATGGATAGTAACTAATTTCATCATCTGAAAAAAATACATGCAAGTAACTCTATTCAGTTTACTAGATGCTATTATACCTCCTTTTAATAAATGTGAACATGCATCTAACACATACCTGAAACATGACATAAAATGTTACCGTTATTCTAGAAAATTTCCTGTGCCCTTTGTAGTCATCACACTCTGCCCAGTCTTGAGCTAACCACTGTTTTGATTCCTGTACCCACAAAACCCACAGACAAGATTTGGTTGTTCTTGAACTTCATAGTAATTGAATTTTAAAGTATATATTCCTTTGTCTCTTAATTCCTTCATTACTCTATAATATTTCAGACATTCATTCTTGTCTATTCCTTTTTGTTGCTGAGCAGATTCCAGCACCATTTGTTGAATAAATTGTCTTTTTTGCAACAATTTGCCTTGGCATCTTTGTCAGAAATCATTTGATTGTAATTCTTTTTCTGTCTTATTGACCTACATGTTTGTTTTAACACAAATAAGATACTGTCTTAGAAACTGATAAATTAATACTAATATTTATATGAAAATGTAAAAGACCAAAGCAGTCTTTAAAAACATGATAAAACTGGCCGGGCACAGTCGGTTGGCTCGCACTTCTAATCCCAACACTTTGGGAGGCCGTGGCAGGTGGATCACTTGCAATCAGGAATTTGAGACCAGCCTGGCCAACATGGTGAAACACCGTTTCTACTAAAAACACAAAAAAATTAGCTGAGTGTGGTGACATGCCCCTGTAATCCCAGCTACTCAGGAGGCTGAGGCAGGAGAATCGCTTGAACCCAGGAGGTGGAAGTTGCAGTGAGCCAGGATCGTGCCACTGCACTCCAACATGGGCAACAGAGAGAGACTCTGTCTCAAAAAAATAAAAATAAAAAATGATAAAACTTACAGTGAGACTTAAAATTGGGTCATGTAAATCCTCCAACTATTTTATTTTTAACAAAAGAAAAAGCAATTTCTACAACAACAACAACAACGAAACCGACTGCGAATTTCATTGCAATTGCATTTAATCTGTGGATCCATTTTGTGGGAGTCAGCATCCGCATAATACTGATTCTAACCATCCCGTAAGCATGGCATCTCTCTATTCATTCTTAATCATTCTCAACAATGTTTTATAATTTCAAGTGTAGAAGTCTTGTACATCTTTTTAAAAGGAATATTTGAAGGTATTTGTGATACTGATACTGTTATAGATATTGATTTTTAATTTCTTTTTCCAATTTGTATGTTGATAATATATAGAAATAAAGCAAAAATTTTCTGTGTTAACTTTGTATCTTAAGCCTTGCTGAGTTTAATTATTAAATTTAGTAGAATTTGGGAGTAGATGCATTTGAATTTTCTTTTTCTTTTTTTTTTTTTTTTTTTTGGGCGGAGTTTTTTTTTTGTTACTCACGCTGGAGTGCAATGGCGCAATGCCGGCTCACCGCAACCTCCGCCTCCTGGGTTCAGGCAATTCTCCTGCCTCAGCCTCCCGAGTAGCTGGGATTACAGGCATGCGCCACCACGCCCAGTTAATTTTTAGTATTTTTAGTAGAGACGGG